GAGGGCTCGGGTGCACCCCTTGGCGTTCGGGGGAGGGCTCGGGTGCAGGTGGAAGACGAAGACTGGCTCCCCCTTTGAAGTTCGCAGAGCGGAGGGCGCGTCGGCTGCAGACGTGCTTCTGAGGCCGTCGTGGGCAGGAGGTGTCGAGGGAAGGGAGCCCGCCGCCTCGCGCCGCCGTCGTCCGCGCGGAGACGTAGCGCTGTTAAACTCTGCTTGTTCTTCTAGCACGCGGGGACTAAAGAGGAGTTCGTTAAAGTCAGGAAGAAGGACCTGGAACGGCTGACAACCGAAGTCATGCAGATCCGGGACTTCTTGCCCCGAATACTAAACGGGGAAGTGCTGGAAAGCTTCCAGAAATTAAAGATTGTAGAAAAAAGTGAGTCTTACCTCCATTTAGCAGAGTCGTGGGCGGGGACAGCAGCCCGCGCGGCGGGTTGATGTTACGGGAACAACCGTGGGGTAGTGGTGCCTAAACCCTAATGCTGCCAAGTCCTTGTGCTGACCTTTGGGACAGCTACCCTGGAGTGGGTAGCCCAGACGTGGAAGTTGGCATTGGGGGAGGAGTGGCCAGCTTTCTGGAGTGTGTCTTCTCTTTCCAGCTCTCATCCTTGACGTAAAAGTTTGATACTCTTGTAATTGGAAAGCTCCACTCTACAACCTAGGTGCTTGTGTAAGTTAAAGATCTTGCCGCATGGAAACCTTGCATGGAGTTAAGTGTGTCTGTAGAGATAGGAGTGTGTTTCCTTGTTTCTAGGTGAATGGACATGTCAGTTTTTTTTAAAGATTTATTTATATATTTTAGAGAACGGGGTTGGCCGGGGGGGGGCGGGGGGGAGGCAGAGGGAGAGAGAGAATCCGAAGCAGACTCTCTGCCGAGCTCAAAGCCTGATGTGGGCTTGATCCCCTGACCGTGAGATCATGACCTGAGCCGAAACCAAGAGTTGGAGATGGTGACTGAGCCACCCAGGTGCCCCGCCAGCCCTGACAGGTCAGTTTCTAGCACTGATTTAAGTCCAGAATTGCCAGGACTTATCCATTCGGAGTTTGAGATTTGACTTGAGCCATTACATCAGGTATCAGTCTGGGAACCTATTAAAAGTTTTTAGATTCTGGGATCAATTCTGCACTTGCCTAACTGAGGCTGAATTACAGTTAAATCAGCCTTTGGTGCTTACAGCTGGTCTGGCACCCTGCATTGGACTATTCACCGTCCCTGCATGGTCTCTGGGAGAAGTGTTTCTGAGGGGCCCAGAGTGTTTCTCCAGCACTGGTGCAGACAGGAAGGTATCTGGACTCAACAGTACACACTTCTGGTTTGTGCAGATGGCACCTGGTCAAGAGGGCAGCCATGCACAGTTAGAAGGGAAGATGCTCATGGTCACCATAGCCCCCGTGCTGCTTAGTTTCTCTTCGGAATCTTCAGATCCACCCTGTGCTGCCCTGTGGCATGCTCTGGACGGTACGCCTGCTCCCTGCCTGCCTCTGACTTCCTTGCTGGCCGCCAGCAGGGCTCACCAGTGGAAGGCGTCACGGACGGAGCGAGAGACTGGGGTGTTTCCTCCTGCTCCTTCCATAGCTGTGACTCCCACCCTAGGACCTCCTTGACGGTCTCAGTTCTCGCTGGGCTCTGGTATCAGTTTTTCTCCGATTCCTCCATCTGGAGGACTTGGTGCTAGTCTCTCAGTGCCTCACCAGCCCCTGCTCTCCTCTCTGTAAGCAGTCCTTTCCACAAATCTCCACGTCTGGGATTTTGTCTCCCATGGAGACCCTGTGGGATATGCTCCAGGTCATTGGCTTCTTAGTCCCTGGTTCTGATCCCATGCTCAGCCAGAGGCCTTCTGAGAGCAGCTAGTCACCCACGTGCATTTATCGTTAGGGAAGGAAGGTACTGACCCAGAGTAGAGCGTGTCAGCGTGCTGAGTGGTTATGTCTCACTGCAAATTACTAAGCTGGCATTCTGAAAACGACCTCAGGGTCTCATGAATTGATTAGCATGAGTCAATCTTTAGAGATCACAAAATCAAAATTGTGGTACATACGAGAGCGAGGGCCACAGATGAATCTGTGGTGACTTGATCAGAGTTAGACTCTAGGAGCTCTTGCCTCACGGTCCCCAGGCCCTGTAGTCATCTCTTCCCGCTCTCTGGCCATCTTGTCTTGGTTTGCTTTGCTGATGCGTCCCCTGCAGCAGCCTTTCGGCTACTGGAGCTGCCCGAGGTTCAGGCCTAGGCCCCTCGTCCTCACTCCATGGCTTTTCCATGGGCGGTGTCATGCACACACAGCTTTGGTGCCCATCTTGATGCCAGTGGCTCCTAGGTTTCGCTCTGGCCCTGGGTTTGGCCCAGACCCCCAGGCTTAGTTGGGGCCCTGTGTCCAGCTCCTGCTTGGCTTTTCTTCTTGCTCGTTTCACCACCTCCATGTTTCAAATTCTCCATGTTTGTCTTAGCCTAATCAGCCTGCAGCCATCAGGAAGCACCTGTAGTCCCACGAGATCAGGTTTATTGGTTTGTTGTCACGAGGGAGACACACCCCAGAGGAACCGTGGGCATCTTGCCAATGAAAGGCTAGTGTTGCTGTGGGTTTTGGGGAAGAGTGGAATTTAGGTGAAGTGCACATTAAACCACACTTCGATGGGCTGTAAGCAAAGTAGGGCTGTGTGTGGGGCCATCACCGTATCCTACTACAGTGGGCCCAGGCCTCATTTCTTTGAAAACTACAAAGTTTAGCTCGATGTAGAATATTGTGTCCGGAAATCCCTCATTTGGAGCTCTGCAGCTAGCTAGAAATCAAGGCTGCTCCCCTTTGTCCTAGTTACTTCGATCCTACAGGGACAGTGGGATGTTTCCTTTTTACTGGTATAATTCCAAACAACAGAATTTCTGACGGTCTGGGATTTTATAAAATAAGCTTTTTGTGAACAAGAAATCAGCAGTCACTGAAAGGGGTCTTCATGATACTTTACTGTCCAGTCTGTTCTTGGGAGAAACATTGTTTCCTGTTAACTTGGAGGCTGGCTTTATACCTCTGTTGACACAGCCTAACAAACTGCAGGACAGATTTCTACTTTCTTACTTCTGACTCATGCTATCCATCCCCTTACCCCACCCCAGACTGGGCTTCCTCAGTCTCCTCAGGGCCTAAGCGTCCACCTAGAGACCTAGGATCCTCTTCATTGCCCACCTCTCTTCATTATTCACTCTCTTTCCAGCCCCCCAACCTCTCTTCCCATAAGTCCTGTACATTTCCCCTCATGGCTGTGTCCTGAATTCACTAGCCTGCCTCCACTGCCACCACCGAGCCCAGGCCACCATCGTGTTCCCCGAATCTCTGCCCCCCGTCTGTCCCCTCATTGTCACTTTCTAGTCTATCCTGTACACTGTCGCCTGTGTAGTTTTTAATAGTTAAGTTTAGTTATGTCATTCCCCTGCTTATGTCTTCAATGGCTTCTCCTTGCTTTTAGGATAAAGACCAAAAAAACACCTCCCCCCAAAACACTACCACCCAAAAACCTAAACAAAATGGTACGGTGGCTCGAAAGACTTTGTATTATTGGACTTAGCCTCAGGTGCAGACTCACGTCCTTATCTGACTACCTAGATAAGCTCTGTCCTCCTGTTAATCCTGTCAGGTGTTCCTACAGCACATGGTACTGTGCTTCAGATGAAGTCGCTTCATTGTCATCCTACTGTGTAAGTGGGCGGGAGGGCAGGGCCCCTGTTTTTGCCCCCTGTTGTGTTCTCTGTGCCTGAGTATTTGGTCCTGAGAGACTTCCCACCCCGTCTCTGTATGTTCTTCTTTCTAAATTGCTTGGTATCTCACGAAGCTAGTGTGCTCTAGGCACCTGGGTGTTAAGAGAAAGGGAGGGTCAAAGTGGAGAAAGGACTTGGTACAGGCTTGTGCTGGAGGCTTTACTGTGAACTTTGAACTTGAGCTGGCCCTTGGAGCCTTCTGCTTCTCTGGCCTGAGACCTGGCCTAGAAGATGTCCTCCTAGGGCATCTTTTACTCAGTTTTGGCTGTTGAATTTTTGCTACTTCGGTGACATGAAGGAAAACAAAGATTCCCTCCTTTTTCTTTTTGTAGAGACTGGGTCCGGTGACTCTTCCCTGGGCCTTCTGAGACAAATCACATGAGCCATGGCCTTGAGAATGGCTCCCCCAGAGACAATCCAAGGATCACAAGGAGGCAGCAAGAGCTGTAGGACATGTTGATCCCTCTGCCTTCCTGGCCCCATAGTCCAGGAGGGCTCTTGGCTTTGACCAGTATCAAAGCTTCCTTTGCTTCTATAGTGGGTGTATGCTTCTCAGCTTAGCAAGTGGCAAGGGGCAGCACAAAGGGAGGAATGAATGCAGGCCGGGCGAGAGGAGAGGGCAACTATACCTGGTTCGAGGGGCAGCTTCTTTTGGAGTGTAGGTATGGTTGGCTTGGATGGGCTCAGGCCCGAAAGGACCCACGTTGATAAAACGAGTGCCAAGTAGTGAATGAGACTTCATTCTGACTCTAGCATAGTAACTCCCTTTAGGAAACCGGGCAGGTAGATGGTGGAATTTGGAAGCGTACTGGCTAGGCTGTTGCCTGAAATCTTCTGGGAGTAGATGAGCATTGAGGAGTGAGGCATGCTTTGTTAGAAGGATAAGAGGAAGGTGTTTTCAGCCGGGTGATGGCGGGTGTGAGAGTCACAGGTGGGAGAGACGGCAGAGGTGATTGCTGGCTGAGAAGCTCGTTTTGCTGCTTGATATGTGGAGCAAGGATTGGGGCATAGCAGAGTCAAGGTCATTAAATGTCAGTGGCTTATAGAAGACGAAATAATCGTAGCTTATTGTTTTTAATTTGAGATGAGCGGCAGGTGGAAGTTACCCCATGGAAATGATATCAAAATGCGACTAAAATTACATTTTCAGGGGAATGATTTTCGTATCTGAGTGAAGGATAAGTTGGAAGAATTGGGTGGAAGATGAAGGAGAATTAATGATAGAGTGCTCCCCAAGGAAGGTCTTGGACTCATCCGAGTGTGGGAGTATGGCTGTGCAGATGGCGTGGAAGGGACGTATGAAGAAATGGTTAGTCTTGGTGAAGAAGGGAGGGCAGAGCTCGGCAGCGGAAATACGGAGCAGCCTGTACACCGCTTTGGACAAACTCCCAGGTGTTTCCCTGTCTGTAAAATGGGGACAGGAGTTGGCGAGGCTTAAGATGAGACTGTCTTGGGCGCCTGGGTGGCTCAGATGGTTAAGCATCTGCCTTCGGCTCAGGTCATGATCCCAGGGTCCTGGGATCGAGTCCCGCATCGGGCTCCCTGCTCCTTGGGAGCCTGCTTCTCCCTCTGCTTCTCTCTCTCTCTCTCTCCCCCTCTGTCTCTCATGAATAAATAAATAAAATCT